CTTACAAATTCACAACAAAACTTACAAGAAATTTGAATGGAATGCTTTTCAATGCATAAAAATGATACAAAAATTCAATATCAAAGAATTACTAAAAAATGCAAGATTCAATTATACATTGAAAATAAACTATAACATCATAATTGCAAAATACAAATTTTGCATTTAGATTTAAAACAAATCTCACAAAAGGAGAATCAACTTGCAGAACTAAAATAATGGAAGGTTAATGAATATCAAGGAGATATAACTAAAATAAAAAAATATACACCATGATATCAAGATAAAGAGACAAAAAAAAAAGAAAAATGATAAAGGCTAAATAAAATATAGTTAATGAAAAAAAACTTAAATCCACATTTGGCAACGTGAAATGAGAAAAAATAGGAATAAAAAAATGAAACATACCAGACAATAGGAGTAGTGGTGGTAAAAAATCTATTGCCTATGTTTCTCTTAAAAAAATAGAGATGATTATGAATCATGATTTTTGAGCAAAGGAAGAAAAGAAACATCAATTCTCGTACAAGAAAAAAATACATTCAGTTAATTCTAGAGGAAAAATGAAAAGATGCATCGATTGAGTGGAAGGAGGAAATGCATAGAAAAATTAGGATGAAGGAAAAAAGGAAGGGAAGAAATAAAATACTAGATTAAAGAGTTAAAATTGATGGAGGAAGAAATGACAGTGTAAATTAGTTGATTGTTGCGATATCTCTCTGTAGTTAACAATAGTCACTTAAAAAAATAATAAGAAAATAATCCTAGTATAATTAATTATTAAAAAATTTGAAGGGAAAAAAGGAAAGATGAACAAAAAAAGAGGAGAAAAGGGTTGAAGGCAGAGGCAAAAAGAGGAAGAAGAGAAGAATTAGGAGGAGTGATGTTTATGATTTTTGACTAACCAAAAAAAATAGTGGAACAAAAATTTAACTAAAAATGAAAACTGTCACTTGTCAAAAATATAAGTAATACATGTGTCAAAAGATGGATTACTACAGTAACTTGACTTTTTTCTTATATACAAGGTAGATACGAAACCGTCTCCACCCATATTTCCCCCCTTTTTTGCCGAGTAAAGAAGCATCTTTCTTTCTTCTTCCCCATACTTCATTTGAATTATCTAACTCCTTTGCTAAAATTTTCGAAACCCCAATTATTATTTTTTAGTTGATAATTTAATTTTTGAACTACATTTTGGTTTTGTTCAAACGTTATTGTGCTTTAAAAAAATTGCAAACCCCAAGTTTTGCTAGAAAGAGGGGTTTGCAAGCGAGGTCTAACTAGCTGAGTTGAGGTTGGATGTTAGACGAGTTCACCGGAGTTACTCCGATACTTAAGTCAGTAGCTATTAGGAGTAAGATCAGATGGGTTTTTGTGCGTACCTTTCAAGTAAGCAAATGATTTGTATTTATACTAGAGGAGTTAGGTGATGGAATGATGAAATCTATTACTAGCTTCGCTTCATAGGGTAGAGCATGGTAGCGGTGTCAAAGGTAGAACTGAACAATAGGATGGCTGGCTGTCACATCAATCACGTCAAATATCAATCAGAATATAATGGTAAGCCAAGGTTTCTGTTGACCTCAGATAAGAAAGCAATGCTAAAGTGAGTTCGGGTAAGGGCTGAATTGGCCAAGGTATCCGCAATAAGCCCCCCACCTAGGGAAGAATGAGAAGTCAAGACGACCATTCTTTCCCGAGGTCATCTCCCAATGCAGTTTTGATGGGAAAAATACAGTTTTGATACCTAAACTTTGACATATGAGCGGTTTTAATCCCCAAATTTTAGACAATGACAAATTGAGTACCTAATTTTTCAACTATTGAGCATATTTAATACCCCTGATGGATTTTTTTCCAAATTACTACAAAAAGTCACATGTTTGATACTATTGTATAAAAAATGTCAAAAAACCGTAAAATATTCTTTTGACACTAAGTGTCATCTAAAATATCCTTTTGGAACTAAGTCCTAAGTTTAAGGACTAATAATTTTATCAAGTAAAATATCCTTCTGGCACTAAGTACTAAGTTTAAAGACTAGTAATTTTAACAAAAGGATATTTTATAATTTTTGACATTTTTTTATACAATAGTTGCCGGACATGTGACTATCACATGATTCTTTTTGATAGCAATTTGGGAAAAAACTATCAAAGGTACTAAATGTGCTCAAAAGTTGAAAGTTTGCGTACCAAATTTGTTTTCGTCCAAAATGTAGGGATGAAAACTGCTCATCTGCCAAAGTTTGGGCATCAAAACTGCATTTTTCTCTTTGAAGGTACACGTGACAACACATCATGTAGGGATGAGATGGTACGTCTATCAGAAATGATTGATGTGCTGCATCTTCCAAGGGTGTTGGATGAACCGTCGGGTATTCATGAGGAGAAAGATGGTGAGTACTTTCTAATTTGAAAAACTCGCATTTGTATCTTCCTTGACTCTTACAAGTAGGGGGTAACTTTTGGCTCATTTTCACTGTGTAATCAAACTGTAAACCATTACCCGAGACTGATAGATGAGGTGAATTAAGAGCCTATTCTAGCCGAGGACGTGCAAACAGTAAGTGCTATTCCTTCTTTTATAATAATTATGGCTAGAATAGCAAAGAACCATAAAGAAATAGTGAGGGTGAGTTTTGTTGAGACAGAGAGGCCCGACCGCACGGAAGAAGAAACAACCGAGATGGAAGAAGCCACCATCTCAGGAGAGAACACTTTAGAAGAATCTGGGACAGGTGGAGCAGAAGGTCCATCGAAATTTGCCGAGGAGATTGAGGCATTATATAACAACGACTTTAGATCTAAAGTGCCTTAGGATGTTGAGATGGTCGTACCCAGAACCCCCAGCCACCTCTCCTTAGTGGACTTCGGGGAGGTACCTTTATTTAGTAGTACAAATGGTGAAGTCGGGACAAGGGTATTAATACGAGCTTATCCTTTCTGCCAAGATTACAATATCTATCGGGTTGAATCGAATCAATCAGCGACAATCCCACCAGAAGTGTTGGTGGTGGTATACGCAGATCAGTTAGAGGTGGGCTCATGAATGCCAACATCCTAGTTCCTTGGAGACAACCTACAATATTGAGGGACCTGGATCATGCAATTGACCCTAAACGCAATTCAGACTTTAGTAGGGTTTGAAATGTTGTGCCGAGAACTAGGTATTGTTCCCATGATAAACCTTTTCGCAGGTTCTATACCATGGAAAATAGTGAAAATGAGAAGAGGGGGGTTTTACTTCAGCACCATATCCAAAAAGATCAAAAAATCAGTTGAAGTGCCTTGACCTTCAGTATGAGATGGAAAAATAATTTTGTCTTCATACTAGCTGAGGACTTCCCATAGGGATTTAGGTGGAGACCCACCATTGCACTTGTCTACCTATCTCCACGGTCTATTGAAGAGGCCAATTTTTGAAAACTTAAGGGATCTGATTTGGTAATAAACAGTTGGTTCTTCTCGAAAGCGGTCTCAGTAGATGGGGACATTAGCCGAGCTCTCATAAGCCCGAATTAGTCTTCTTATTAATCTTTTAGGGTCAGCAGGACTTGTAATTTCTTTTTCATAAAGTAATTCTGTAGTTATTTCAATCATTGAGTAATAATTTACTCTTTTCTTTGCAGTGACAAATGTATCTAACTTGATTACTGAGGATGGTCATTTCGGCTTATGGAGTGCCTCCTGAAGTGCCACTTCGGCTAGACCTGTTGGTTTGGAACCCATCTCGTTACCACTTCGGCTAAGATCGTTAGCCGAAGTGACGCTTGAGTATTTGATAACTGTAGAAAGGTACGATGTGACTCCTGACACATCTGACACCTGGGAAGGCTGCTCTGATACGCCGCCTGAACCTGACAGATGTCCCCTCACATCTCATAAAGATCAGTCAAGTCTACCGGATGCACTGACCATCTCAGATCTTTAGGGACACGTGCCGGCAGTCCCTCTCTCCTATTTTTTCCCTATAAATTCTCAACATTTCTATTGAGAAAGGGATGATGACCAATTCTCTGGTAACATACTACTCCCTTCTAGTATACTACCTCCTTACAACCGAACTAACTTGAGCTTCGGAGTTATACCGGGGGATCCAGCCCCTCTTATTACCCAAGCAGGTGACCACGTCCAAGAGAGTTGCCCAATATAAAAATACCTCTCCAGTTCGGGTGACTTACTCCAGCGGGACAAAAATCAACTCTTCAATTGGCGCCGTCTGTGGGAACGCGAAGACATCAGAGTATGAAGTCTACGAGTTCTAAGAGCAGGAAGGCTCTCACCATTGGTGCTGAGCAAAGCAATGCAGCCCAACAGGAAGATTTTTCCGAAGGGCATGAGCCTCCGAGGACCCAGCCCGCAAACGAAGAAGCCATCACTCGTATGGCCGAGTTTGTAACCGAGAACCCCAACATCTTCGAGGAGTTGGGAAGATATTTAAAGAGGCAAGGCAAGCAGAAGGCTGAGTCCTCTAAAAGAAAGTCAGATGGATCTCCTGAAGGTTCATCTGAAGAGGAGTCTGATGGGAGGCACCTAAGCCGGAGTGCGTCGAAACGAGCGTTTTCCAAGGCCACCTCCAAGGTAGCCTCCCTAACTAAGGCCTTTTCCCGAGGTCTCCTGGGGCGACGACCTGAGGAAGAACCTCGGCCCCTGGGAATACCCGGGGTGAATTATATGAGGGCCCCGCCTTTTACAGACGACATTAACGAGGAAAGGCTTCCTCCAAACTTCAAGCTCCCCGCGATACCGTCTTATGACGGCCGAGGTGATCCCGAGGATCACATTCATGCCTTCATCTCGGCCTTCCGCTTATACTGCATCCCTGACCCCGTCATATGCTGAGCCTTCCCAGTATTCCTCCAGGGGACAGCTCGAAAATGGTTCTGGGGATTAGAACCTAGGAGCATCTCAACCCTGGGAGGACTGGTGGAAAGATTTCTCCATAGGTTCATTTCATCCCGACCTACGACCCGAACATCGGCTTACCTGCTGAACATGCAGCAGAACCCGGGTGAGTCACTTCGGTCGTATGTTCAGAGGTTCCATGAAGAAACCGTGCAGATACCTGATCCTAATGAGCAGGTCACCATTGCCGCTTTCACCCATGGGCTCGTTTCCGGGGTGTTCAACACGAGGATTCACAAGAAATATCCCCGCACCCTCCACGAGCTGTGGTTAAAGGTTGAGAAGAGCATACAAGCCGAAGACCTCAATCGCATGAAAAAGGAGGTTCAAGCTGCTCGCCCGAGGGCCGACCCCCGAAAGGGAAAAGAGCTTGGCCGAACTGAGGTGGGGACAGGAAGTGGCTTCCAAGGCCCTGGCCGAGATAGTCGTAGTGTGTTCGACAGGATATCCAAGGGGAAGTCACCTATCCCTGAGTCCGAGCTGACTCCTTTGAACACTAGCCGGTCTCGGGTGCTGTCCGTAATGGAACAAAACAATCTTGGAAAGGCACCTCCCAAGATATTCGGCAGCCGGGATAAGAGGAACTCGAACCTCTACTGCCTGTACCATCGGGATATAGGGCACGAAACTGAGGATTGCAACGACCTCAAAAAGGAGATCGAGAACCTCATTAGACAAGGCCACCACAAGCAGTTCATCCGCCGAAGTGGAGGTCATCCGTGTGATGAGAATCGACGTGATAAGCGAGGTGACCAACGCCAAGATGAGAGGCGGACGTCGAGAAGCAGTTGTCGACCCCCTGAAGAACCTAGGGAAGCGAAAAGGCCTCCCCGAGACGGGTCTTCAGGTCAGGGGTTAGGATACGGACCAAACATTGCCGGGGTCATCAACACAATTGCCGGAGGTCCGACGGGAGGAGATAGCCAAAACTCCCGGAAGAGGACCTACAGACAATCCAACCCGGATCAGGCCGAGTCGAGTTCTCGCCTGTCTGAGGTGATCACCTACGGGCCCAGTGACCCCGTTCCAGCTGCTTCCAGCAGTCACGAGGCTTTGGTGATTGAATTCCTCACCAATAACTATGTTGTGAAAAAGGTCTACATTGACCCGGGAAGCTCAGTGGACGTCATGTACCTCCGAACCTTTGAAAGCCTTAAATTGGCCAGGGAGCGCATGACTCCGGTGAGAACCCCTCTTGTAGGGTTCGGGGGACACATTGTGCACCCCGAAGGGATGGTGGCTCTGACAGTGACTGTAGGGCGCCACCCCCGCTGCCGGACCATCCCCGTCAAACTTCGTAGTAGTTAAGGCTAACTCGCCATATAACCTACTCCTGGGTCGACCTACACTTAATGCTTTGCGGGCAGTATACTCCACCTCTCATCTAAGCTTTAAGTTTCCTACTCCTGCGGGGGTGGACGAGGTTAGCAGCGACGTCTGCGCTGCCCGAGAATGTTATCTTGCCACTCTACAAGCAGCCTCCCCGTCCACCTCCGGAGCGAGGCCCGAGAGGAGGTCAAATATCCTCTCAATAGATAGCATCGATCCTCAGCGAGCTGAGAAGATCCCGAGGCTGGAGACTGGGGATGAGGTGGAAGAATTCCCTCTGGACCCCACGAAGCCTGATCAAACGATTCGCGTCGGTACCCGCTTGCCCAGTCCTGTCAAAAGAGGTATGGTGAGCCTCCTCAGAGAATACCGGGACGTCTTTGCTTGGGCCGCAGAGGAGGTTCAAGGGGTCCCGCATCACCTCATGATACATGAGTTGAACGTCGACCCCCAAATCCGCCCGGTCAAGCAGAAAAGAAGGCACCTCGGTCTCGAGCGCAGCCGAGCTGTTGGCGAAGAGGTGGATAAACTCCTTCCTGCGAAGATCATCCGGGAGGTCCAGTATCCGACCTGGCTAGCCAACCCAGTCATGGTAAAGAAGGACACCGGAGTTTGGAGAATGTGCGTCGACTTCACCGACCTCAACAAAGCTTGTCCGAAGGACTGCTACCCATTGCCCAAGATTGATACCTTGGTGGATTCAGCAATGGGTTATGAGGTCCTCTGCTTCTTTGATGCCTTTAAGGGGTATCACCAGATCGGGATGAGTCCGGAAGACCAGGAGAAGACCGCCTTCTATACTGACCGAGGCACGTATTGTTACACCACCATGCCTTTCGGACTGAAGAACGCCGGGGCCACATACCAACGCTTGGTTAACCAAGCCTTTAAGTCTCAGATCGGCCGGATGGTTGAGGCCTACGTAGATGATATCCTCCTCAAAAGTCGGACAACCTCCACATTCCTTGCCAACCTGAAAGAAGTCCTGGAAGTCTTTCGGAAGACGCGAATAATGCTAAACCCCAAGAAGTGTGTCCTGGGGGTCACTTCGGGGAAGTTTTTGGGCTACCTCGTCTCCAGGCGAGGTATTGAAGCAAATCCAGACAAGGTGAAAGCAATTCAAGAAATGTCTCCACCTCGGTGCGTCCGCGATGTCCAAAGGTTGACGGGGCGGTTGGCCGCCCTGAATCGGTTCCTATCGCATTCAGCTTCCAAGGCATTGCCATTTTTCAAAGTCCTCAAAAAGGCCAACAACTTCTCCTGGACAGAAGAGTGTCAACAGGCGTTTGAGCAGCTAAAGGAGCACCTCAACCACCTCCCAACACTCACTTCACCTCGCCCAGGGGACAAGTTAATCTTGTACCTATCTGCTGCCGCTGAAGCTGTAAGTGCCGTACTGATAAGGGAGGAAGGTGTCCAAACACCTGTTTATTATGTCAGCCGAGTCCTCCGAGGTCCGGAGACCAGGTATACTCAGGCGGAGAAACTTGTGCTGGCCTTAATTCATGCAGCTCGTTGGCTTAAGCCCTACTTCTTGGCCCATCACGTCTGCCTGAGGACAGACCAACCACTTCGGCAGGTCCTATCGCGACCGGAGGCCTCTGGACGCCTCACCAAGTGGGCCATCGAGATGGGAGAGTACGACTTATCTTATGAGCCTCGCACGGCAATTAAAGCCCACGCTCTCGCGGATTTCCTTGCCGAGCTTACTTTTGAGGAAGTGAATGAGACCATCCCGGCTACTACCCAGGCTGTCACCTCGTCCACCGCCGAGCCTCAACGATGGACCTTGCATGTGGACGGCTCATCCAATAGTGAGGGTAGTGGAGCCGGCTTGCTCCTCGAAGATCCCCAAGGAGAAATTTGCTCGTATGCCTTGAGGTTTGATTTTGCTGCTTCCAACAATGAAGTTGAATACGAAGCAGTCATCGCCGGCCTGCAGTTAGCTCGTAAGCTCGGGGCCGCGCATATCATGGTCTATAGCGACTCTCAACTCGTCGTGTGCCAAATATTAGGCGAATACGAGGCCAGGGAAGAGGTGATGCATCGATACCTCTCCAAGGTCCTCCAGCTAGTGGCACACTTCCAGTCTTTTGAAATTCAGAGGATACCGCGGTCACAGAACAGGAGAGCTGATGCTCTCTCCCGGCTCGCTTCTACATCTTTTTCTGACCTGAACAAAACGGTCCTTGTAGAAGTTTTAGCCGAACCGGGGTACGAAGGGGAAGAGGTGTATCCCATCTACCCTGGGGACACCTGGATGGGACCGCTAGTTCGATTCCTCAGCCGAGGTGAACTCCCCGAAGACCGAGCTGAGTCACGCAAACTTCAGCGTAAAGCAGCTCGGTACGCCCTTCGACAGGGCCTCTTGTACAAGAGGTCCTACCTCGGCCCATGGCAACGATGTATCACCCCAGAAGAAGGTGACAGAGTTCTTCAAGACATTCATGAGGGACTCTGTGGTGCCCACGTCGGTTTCAGGATGCTCGTGAAAAAGGCTTTGCTGCTTGGGTACTTTTGGCCCACCATGAGGGTAGATGCCCAGGTCATGGTCCTTTGCTGCCCTTCTTGTCAGCACCATGCCCCTGAGCACCACCAACCAACCAATCTTATGATTCCTATCACCTCGTCGTGGCCCTTCGAGCAGTGGGGAACAGACATAATCGGCCCATTTCCAAGGGCTCCAGGTGGTTATACTTATGTGGTGGTAGCAGTGGACTACTTCACCAAATGGGTCGAAGCGGAGCCCCTGAGAAGCATCACCGGAGTGCCCGTTCAAAAATTTTTCTGGAAAAATGTGGTTTGTCGCTTCGACTTGCCCCGGGTGGTCATCTCGGATAATGGCAGACAGTTCGCGGACAATCCTTTCAAGACGTGGTGTGAAAACTTGGGAATTAAACAGCACTTCACCTCGGTGGGACACCCTCAGGCAAATGGACAAGCCGAAAACTTCAACCGAACTCTCCTCCATGGCCTCAGGACCAGGCTTCACCGGGCTGGATCGTCATGGATGGAAGAGCTCCCCAGCTTGCTGTGGTCCTACCGAACTATGCCGAGGTCAGCAACTCAAGAAACACCGTTCTCTCTAACTTATGGATCCGAGGCTGTCGTTCCAGCCGAGTTCATCACTCCCAGCCCGCGAATGGCCGCGTACGCTGCCGAGGTCAATGAAGAGGAGCGGCGAGTTGATCTCGACCTCGCCGAAGAGAAGCGCGATATGGCCGCGGCCAAAGTTGCTATTTATAAAAATATCCTAGCTGGTTATTACAATGCTCGGGTCAAACACCTAAAGTTCAATCCAGGAGACCTGGTACTCCGGAAGAATTCGGTTAGCCGAACTGAACCCCAGGGAAAACTTAACCCCAAGTGGGAGGGACCCTACCGTGTTATTGAGTCCAGCCAAAATGGATATTGTAAACTGGCTTACCGAGATGGTTCGCGTGTGCCCCGAACTTGGCATGCTGAGAACCTTAAGTTGTATTACCCTTGAAGGGTACGTGTTCTTAAATCTCACTTCTTTAAGTTATTTCTCACTCGTTCTTATTTCATTACAAGTGACAAATAATGGGACAAAGCAGTAGTTAAAAGAAAAAAAAACTGAACTCAATTGAAAAAGAATGCGAAAACATGAAGTCGATTTTATTAGAGCATGAAGAGTAAAAGGTCAAGGTTATTTACGACCTCGGCCCCCAGTTACAAAAGAAAAAGGCCGAGGTTATCTACGACCTCGACCCTCTACTATAAAAACGAGTGCTAAGCACCTACTGCCCCGGGGTCTTGTTCCCCCATGGTCTCTCCGCCTGCCTCGGTATCCTGCTGACCGGCATCCTACTGTCCTTCCTCTCCTCCACCGGCCTGGCCCCCTTCGGCACTGTCACTAGGCCTGTCAATGGGTCGGGTCTAGACCCGGATCCGTGAAATTTTTGCGGGTATGGGTAGAGATTTAATTCCGTTTCCCGGATCCGGATCCGTTTTGTCAAACAAAAAACGGGTCGGATACGACATATAGTATTCCGACCCGTTTTAGACCCGGATCCGGATATAAATGAATTAATAATTTAAAAAATATATATTTATCAATATAATTTGATTAGGGTGATGTATTTTAATAAAGTTAATTTGATTTCTTTTCTTATTTGATTTTTTCTTTGCATTAGTTAGAAATTAGTTTACAAATATATTTTTTTCTCATTTTTATTAGAAATTATAAATTTTGGTAAATTTGTTCGGGTAGACCCGGATCCGGATCCGGGACCCGCCGGATCCGGATCCGGAACATAGAATAAAAGACCCGTCAGGTAAACGGGTCGGATCCGGATCTGGCATAGTAATTCGGGTCCGGGTCCGGAATAATGAATTCCGGCCCGGACCCGGCCCGTTGACAGCCCTAACTGTCACCATCCAGCTCGAACTCCTGGAGCCACTTGTTGAATTCAGCTCGGACTTCGGCCAGGTCCTTTCCAGCCTGGATGCCCTCACCCACGCGGTCGCATAGTTCCTTGGCATCCTCATTGTAGTGCGAGGCACTCTGAAGGGACTCCAGCTGCTCAGGGGAAAGAAAGGATGCCGCGTCATTAATGGCCGACGTGTAGCCGAACATGAAGCTCGGCCGAGTGAGTTCACCGAGATCACGAATGAAAGACTCCGACTTCCGGAATGCTTCCACGGCGGTGGCCCCGGCTGTGTCTATTGCCACCTTGGATGACTGTTCTTCCTGAGCTCTCTTTTCCCTCTCCTCATCAAGAGCAGTTATGAGGGAGTTGTTCGCGACCTCGATCTTCTTCTTCGCCGCCTCGGCCTTGTCACGTCCCAGCTCGGCGGCCTTTAGTTTCTCTTCCAGATCGGCGATCTTCTTCTGGAGCTCGGCCGGTGACTCATAAGTTTCTATGAAGTGACCGAAGCGCTGGTACATCTCGGCGAAGAATGCCGTAGTGGAAGCCCAGGAGACCGCGGCGCTCTGCATCAGCTCAGCTGGATTCAGTTTCCTGGTGTAAGTGTTGTCCCGTGGCAGAGCCGAATTCACCAGGAGCTCGTGTGCGACTTGGGGATTCTTGCAGCAGTCATTGACATTGACTTCCCACTCCGGGCACCAATGTGCCCCCGAGTGCCTTTTGTCCTCCCCGGCTGCAAGAGAAGGCACATGGTGGAGGTTGAATAATGAGGACCCCGTGACGGGGTTATCCTGGATAACGGTAGCACCTCGACCCAGGCCCCGAGGTTGAGAGGCTATGGTTATCCCATGGGATGGAATTCCCACTGGAATGGACGCTCTGGACCTTCCCGGCGTGCCCGAGGTGTGCGACCCTTCGCCAATGATCACCACGGCAAGCTCGCGAGTGCCTGCCGCCGCAGTGGTCTTCTTAGCCGGCTTGGATGAGGACTCACCAGCGTCCTTGCGCTTTTTGGCTGGCCTCTTTGCCACCTCGACCTCTCCCGAGGTTATCAGGTCGGAAACCTTCATTACTGCAAAGCACGAAATGAAGTTAGTTAGAATTCAAGGAAAACGAACAAAAAAGTGAGAAATGAAAAAGTACAAGGTATGTGAAGCCTAGTGGAGATGAGGACGGGATGGTCCGAGCTGATCAAGGCTTGGCTGAGCTCGCCTTTCACGAGCACTCTTTCAGTGAAGTCCCAACAGTTAATCTTCAGGCCCGACCCCGTCAACTTTTGGAAGTTGCGTTCTTCTAATTTGCCCGGGGAGGTTTCTTTGACCGAAGTGGGAGGTCTCCACCAGAATCTCCTGGGGAAGTCCTCAGCCGGGACAAAGAAAAAGTTCCTCTTCCACTCCTTTATTGAGCTCGGGGCATCATATACCAACCTTGGAACCTTGTTCCCGAAGTAGAACCACCCCTTCTCGCTCCCGCTGTTCTTAAGTGAATAACAACGGCGGAAGAGGTTGACGTTCGGCTCTATCTCTTGATGTCGGCAGAGTAGCTGGAAGCCGACGAGGATGCGAATTGCATTTGGGGTGAGCTGAGTAATCCTAACCCCCCAGTACCTCAGGCAGTCCCGAAAAAACCTCGTAGTTGGCATCCTGAGCCCGGCCTCCAGCTGTTCTATGTAGATGGCTACCCTACCCTTTGGGGGCAGGGCGGTGGAATGATGTGGGCGCGGCAGGTAGATACTGTAATCCCTCCTCCACGGGTACTTGCGGATCATCTCGGCTATGGAAGCTTGGTCCACCACACTGATGAAGGCCGGCATCTGGCCATAGTTTAGCGTGGCCACGTTTGGAGGAGTGGAGGGCTCCTGTACACCTTCGTCCCTAGGAACTTCATTCCCGAGGTCATCATTGTACAAGACCTCGGGCTCGACCTCAATCTCTTCGGCCTGTTCTTCCGGAGATGTAGCTCGGCGAGATGCCTCCGCACCTCCTCCCCAGGCTCGGTAAGACGCTACCGCACCTCCTTCCTCGGCGTCGGATGCAGTTCTCTCCTCGGAAGGGTCGGGCCTCTCTGCCTCGGTGAAGTCAGGCCTCACCGTCTCTTTGTATGTGCGAGCTGTTCTAGCCATTAATACAGAAAGAAGAAGTGAACTTACTTAGGAGATCCGGAGTGAAGAAGTTGCTGGAGAAGACGTGGTTTAGAAAGATTGCCGAAGTGAAAAAGCAAAGAGACGGAGCTCTGAGGTGGTTTCAAATTTCGGTAAAGAATGGAACGGTGAAAAGAAACCCCTATTTATAGGCAACAGGGGGGAACCGAAGAGACGCGATCTTTGGGATTCCCTAAAGCTCTCTCTCTCCCCTCATTAATGAAGGTGCTGTTCACCTGACAATCGATCGTATTGATCCGACGTTAAAGCTGCCAGCCCCCGTTTCACCTTCCCCCAGTCACATCTACACAGTCGTGATGTGTCCTTGCCATGTTCCGTGTTCTACATGCGCGTCAGCCTCGGGAAGTGACGACCTTGGGAGACCACGACCTCGCTCTTCTCGAAGCTTGGGGGGCTTAGTGAGGATGGTCATTTCGGCTTATGGAGTGCCTCCTGAAGTGCCACTTCGGCTAGACCTGTTGGTTTGGAACCCACCTCGTTACCACTTCGGCTAAGATCGTTAGCCGAAGTGACGCTTGAGTATTTGATAACTGTAGAAAGGTACGATGTGACTCCTGACACATCTGACACCTGGGAAGGCTGCTCTGATACGCCGCCTGAACCTGACAGATGTCCCCTCACATCTCATAAAGATCAGTCAAGTCTACCGGATGCACTGACCATCTCAGATCTTTAGGGACACGTGCCGGCAGTCCCTCTCTCCTATTTTTCCCCTATAAATTCTCAACATTTCTATTGAGAAAGGGATGATGACCAATTCTCTGGTAACATACTACTCCCTTCTAGTATACTACCTCCTTACAACCGAACTAACTTGAGTTTCGGAGTTATACCGGGGGATCCAGCCCCTCTTATTACCCAAGCAGGTGACCACGTCCAAGAGAGTTGCCCAATATAAAAATACCTCTCCAGCTCGGGTGACTTACTCCAGCGGGACGAAAATCACCTCATCAATTACCTTAGGAGCGGGAATAGTAGCCAAGAGGCAAAGAGTAAGGTCTTTGTTGAAACTTCTAGAATGGGCAAGAAGCAAAAGAGCAGCTCGGCTGCACCCAAATAAACTCCCCTAATAATTGGTTGAGAGAGGACCCCAGCACACCCAATCTCTATCTTAGAGGATATAGCAAACCAAGGTGTCACAATCACCTCAGTGGGACATGAGAAGGGGAAGTCTCTTCAACCCCATCCTCCAATAATTGTATTGGCTTTCTTCTGGAATAGGTACCCCGCTCCCTTTCTGAAGCCTTCTAATCTCGAAGTGAGGCATCTCGGGGAGCACTTTTACTCACCTTAGCAGTTCAGAATCAATGATAGGTGCCAAGATCCTGGTACAACTTGGGAGTTACTCCTCAACTCGGTGTTGCCTAGGAATGCGGACTGCACAAAACAACTACCTAGGCCTAAGCTCGGGGACCATTTGGCCATCGCTTGGGCTTCAGCCATTGCTTTCATAGTTGACATGTTCCACAAGTATGCTTCTTGGTGGGATGCTCAATAGTCAGTTGCGCCTCTATTGAAGAAGGTGGAAGTCTTGGAAAAAGAATTGGCCGAGGCAAGACAAGAGAGGGATCACGCCATCATCGAGGCCAATTCTCTCAGGGCAACCTATGAAGAGGAGCAGAAGAGGTTCCAAGAAGAAAGAGTGGCCAATGAGGTGGCACTGGATAAAACTCGAATCGCAACAGTAGAGGCCTTCCTCAAATCCGAAGGTTTCAACAAGGATCTTGGCGAGCTAACCACCCCAAGCTTCATGTTTTGCTTCATCATGGCCATTAATAAGATAGATCACCTGCTGTCCAAGGAGGAGCTTGAGAAGATCAAGGCCCACGCCAACTAGACTAAGGATGCCAAAGAGTTGTATGATCAGATGGCAACTGACATCCAAGTAGGAAGAGATCTAACAAAGGTGAAGAACAAATTCAATTAGTGACTCGTCAA